GGTTGGCATCTATACCCATAGGTTCTTTGTCACCTTTGGCGTACTGCAGTAACCCCTTTTGAATCAAATCCTGCACACAATTCCGAAATGTAACACAATTGTTAGTATTATGTCGGAATGAATTATGCCACTTACAATATTCTTTCCCTTTCCTTTCTTTATCAGAAGGAAGAATATGTCCAGGACTTAAAGTGATAAACTTTTGTTTCAGCAGTTCATCAAAAATTGGATCTGCTTGTGCTAAATCAAAAGAGTACTGTCTATAGTTTGCTTGCCCCCCACGCCTATTGGGTTGAGATGAGGGCATGTTCATTGGTTTCTCAGTCTTAATCAATGTGTCACAAACTATAGGATTTTTGCCAATGACTTGTGCTACATCGATTTCAATATCTCCTTCTACATCTTGGTAATATGTTCCCAAAGATGTGTTTTTCAACTGTTCCTCTTCTTGAAGGATTGCCTCAAACTGAGAAGCTCTCATTGAAAGTTCAAACAGATCTTTAAAATTAGATCCATTAAACTGCTTTTTGAAATTGAACTCAAGCCCATCTTGGGCTATGCGAACAATTTCAGTTTCTGGTACATTACAGTGGCATTGATTTCTCAACCTTTTAAATCTGGTCAAGAACTGCTCTGCTGTTTCATTTGGCTTTTGTTTCAGTTTAGCCAAGTCAGCAATTGATACCTCTGGTTCGTGCCTAAAATATTGAGCATGAAATTGCTCTTCCATATCTTGCCAAGTATGGATAGAATTAGCAGGCAAACTTATAAACCATGTGAAAGCTGTTTTTGTCAAGGAATGAGGAAACAATTTCAATTTTAAAACATCATCAGAACTAAGTTCCCCTAACTGAAGACAAAATCTGCCCACGTGTTCTATTGTCGACTGGTTTTCTGTGCCACTAAAAAGCGACAACTCAGGGATTTTGTAGTTTCGTGGCAAAGGAACACCATCAACCCATCGTGGGTATGGCTTTCTAAACATGGGTTTCTCCACTCTACGTAGCCCCGGACCATACATATCCTGAATAACTTCCATTATTTGGGCTCTGTTCACATTCAAGGGTTCCTGTGCTCTGTTAAGATTCATGGGATCCTGTGCCCTATGAATATTTACGAAATCTGGGCCTCTGAGAGCATTTGGAACATTCTGTGTTACATATGGTTGTGTAAAAGGTATATTTTGCCCATTTCCATTGCCAATATTTGGCATAGCTTGCACATATGAACCATTGTTGTTGCCATTATTTGGCAAAGTTTGTGCAGTTTGACTCGCATTATTGCCATTACATGGCATATTAGGCGCCATACTGTATGGGTACGGGCCGTTACTCACAGTATAATTTCCTATGGGACCATTTTGGGGGCTCTGACCATGACTGAAATTGACATTTTGGCCATAACCACTGGTATTCCCAGTTTCATATGCAGACGGGATATTTTGATAAAAACTGATTGGTCTCACTGTAGACCTTAAAGCATTCGGTCCCACGAATGGTTGATTGTGTACATTCAAATTTGATTCAAAAGTAGGATTTGAATATACCTGTTGAGGGACCTGTCTAGGCACGTCATCGAGACTCACTTGCTCGTGAACTACTCCATTGGCATCGACACCTATGACAGATGGAGGTGCGACTACCCTTCGCAACAGAGTAATTAACTCCTGTGCTGCTTCGTCTTCCGGATTAGACAAAACTTGTGCCAACTGCCTAGAAAGGCTCTGCACATTAACCTGTAGGTTTGAGCCATTTCCTTGGCTATTCTCTGGCATCCTTTGTTCAGGATGCACCGAGTCACTCGGGACTTCGAAGCCCTCGTTCTGAGACTCTGTCGGTCGATCTCCTTGCTTTCTTGTGGTTGGAGCCATTACTTCCAAATTAGTAAGTAGCCCTCCTTCTAGCGCCAAAACTTGTTTATCTATTTTTTCTCTTAGTCGACGAATCGACTGTGAATGGTGTAAGTGCTGGAATGTGGATGTTTGTGGTGGTGGAGTTTGGTTCCTTGCCGTATTTCAGGACTTCTCTGGAAGCAAACTTAACGCAGTGAACGGAAATGGAAGAAGAATAACAAAATGGACTTTATTATTCCTCAAAGTTGAAGTCAGTCGACTATGGATACACAATCGAGAAGACGGTTTTAAGATAACAAGCTACTCCTAGTGCATGAAATGTAAAGTACAGATAAAAAGTAGAAGCCTTTGGGCGATTGAGTGGGGGTTGAATTTGTCTTCTCTTCTTGTATTTATAGGCTTCACTTCGACTTGAAATTCAAATTTGGCAGATTTCCCTCCAATGATTTGAATCAAGCGGTTATCTCCTCTTTCTTCTCCACGTTCTTGACCGAGCGGTTTCTTTATAGTCTGGACACACGATCCATTGTGATTACTTTCTTTAACTGCCCTTGTCAAATGCTCCTATCCACGATCTGCTTGTAACTTGTCATCGAACATGTGACTCTATTACTTCCGTAACCGTCGACTAGTCCATTTGAACCCCTGGTTGTACGCCTTTCGTCTTCCATTATTGCAACACGTGTCAGCAAATAAACCAGTCGATCAACATGGGTCTAAAATATGGTGTAAACAATATGATTATAGAGGATGGGGCTTGAGACAACAATTGAGAGTCAATGCATGCTGATAAAGTCTTGTTGTAGAGGAGTGGGATGTCGTCCACAACGGCACTCGCCAGAAACATGCTCCACCCAGTGATGGCTAACCCATTTCCAAGAGTTAACGTCCCGGAAAACCACCGGTCGATCTAGCCAGCTGCAACGGTTAAGACCCACGGAATTCCGTTGTGCAACCACCCAAGCTCCGGGCCTTCATTTCCAGCTGAGGAAGAAACAAGAACACCCTTTTCCATCGCTCTAAATGAAGCTATGGCAATCGGATCCTCATCTACCCCGTCAGCTACTGCCTTCTCCATCCCAGCGAGAACGTCGGAGGCATAGCCTCCTTCGTCCCAAAGGACTTTATACATTGCCACCCTAGCACGCGGCGCAACCCCCCTCACGGTTCCCAAATTGTAGCCGAAAAATCAGGCGTCTTCTACGTAGTTTCCACCAGCAGTCGACGAAGTGTGGGTCCCATGCCCGTCGGTGTCCCTTGCTGAGTTCATACTCAGTTTAATACCAGGATTTGCAGCTAATTAAGAGCCCCTTGTTGAAGTATCTAGCTCCAATATGCTTCAAATTACACAATGAAGAGTTGAAGTCTTGACCTTCCTCGCATATTCCTTTCCATTTTGATGGGATAGCGGTCATCCCATCGTCTGTAAAGCTCTTGCTCTCCGGCCACACGCTAGTGTCGATCACCCCGATGATAACGTCTTTGCCGTAGTGTGAAGCCAGCCACAGTCCGGTGGCGTGACTGAGGCCGAGGAACTCCGTGGTGTGGGTGGTGTCTACTGCTACCTTCCTGTCAGGGTAAGACGCGACGAACCCCGGTAACTTCTTTAATCTCTCTAGCTCATCTTTCGAGAGGACTGCGCTGAATCCATCCAATGCGTTGTCGTAGCTGTAGAGGAGCTGCGACACCGAATGGTGGTCGTCTGATGTTTCTGTCTCCGTTGATTTTACGGAATCAACGGTGGAGGAATGCCAGTTGTGGATGCTAGTGAAAGCGTTGGGCATGAAAGACTTGTCCATATGGACAATGTGGGTGGACCTCTCGGCCAAAATCAAAGTGCCATGGAGAGAGAAAAGAAACCATGGACATAAGACCAATAACAGTAGAAGAGAAGCTAGACCAATTACTTGGCCTCATGTTTGTAAGAACAAAACACACTTCTACTTCGACACCAGCACGGTGTGTAGCTTAAATAGATTTCTACTTCGAGTACTTCATTAACCGTTAGTAGATTTTTACACCGCCAAAACCAATTTTCTTTCATACGATCGGTTTTTCAAACTCAAACTAAGGATCGAGACGGTTGACTTTTTTACCATGTTGATTAAATCATTCTTGTAAAAATTTGACTCAGTCGGGTTTAGAAAACTTCTTTATCGATACACAATTTCATTAACAAAATGAGTTTTTTTATCCGATCAAGTGTGTAGTGATACCCGATTAACTTCATTTTTAGTACGAATGAAGTACTCGTTAATATGTAAAAGATAGACGGTTCCGATTGGAAAAAAAATGACTCAGGTGGGGTCGGGTCTTACAATCTATTACTTTAATGTCTCGGGATGCATCAAATGTGGTCCGATAAGGCGATCGCCGATATCCGACAATCTTCGATGTTGGTGACAGTGTTGGAATTAGTGAGACGTGAAATCCCAACGGTTTAGATTGACGATTGTAAAAATTGAGTTTGTAATTACATTTAAAATATATACGTTCAATGTAATTCATAACAAACTACGTCTTGTGTTGTACTTGAATGTACAGTAGCCACTCGACCACGACACAACCGTGATGATCGAGACCATTGATTTTATTTTTCTTGTTGATTAAATCATTCTCGTAAAAATTTAGCTTGATTGAGTTTCGAAAACTTCTTTATTGAGATAAAATTTCATTAATAAAATAAATTTTTTTGCCCAATCAAGTGTGTAGCGATACCCAATTAATTTTATTCTTGGTTCGAAAGATGTACTCTTTACTATGTAAAAAATAGACGGTTCCAATCGAGGAAAAAAAAAGAGATATTAGTGGGTGTTTGTATAGTATAAATTGAATTTAAAAAATTGGATTAAGAAAAATCTCGTTAATATAGTATAAATATTACTCTCTCCGTCCGGATTTAATTGTCCTTAATTCTATTCTAACCGGCTAAAAAATGGGTTATATCTTTGAATCCGTAATGAATTTCATATCGAATATGAATCTTTTTTGATAGATCTCGATTAGTTCTATAATACGATGTTTTCGAAATCACGTAAAATATTATAAATTGGAAGATATAATCGATTGAAAAATGGCACGAACTCCAAAAAATGACTATTAAATCCGGATGGAGGGAGTAGTAGGTGCTTCATTTTACACAATTGTTGTGCTAGCTCAGCTGATTCGCGCGCGCGCCCGCGAGAACGTGAGGTCCTGGGTTCGATTCCCAGGAGGAGCAAAATTTGTTGCACGCTACCACGCGGGCGACACGGGGTTGACACGTTAGCGCCACGCAGGTGACATGTGGGTGCCACGTCAGCACCACATGGAGGACACGTGGCCAATACGTCCCACAATGGTGATTTTTCAAAAAAAAAAAAAATTATTTTTAGCAATGGTTATAAGCATCACTAAAGAAACCATTACAAAAAAAATTTGTACCAACGCTCGTCAAAACCGTCACTATACCTCTATAGTGGCGGATATCTTGCGACGGTTTGGCCGACGGTTGGTGAACCGTTGGTATAGCCTTTAGCGACGCTTTTTGTGTTCTTTAGTGACGCTTTTGATCGTTGCTAGATCCCGATTTTCTTGAAGTGCACCATGTGTGTACATGTAACAACTTCTAACTCAATCCAATAAAGATATTTGAGTTGCTATTTCTGTTATTGAGCACACACAATTTTTTTTTTGAAAAGTGGTCCTCTTTGTTATTTGGCCTATTATATTGAGTAATTGCTAAATTTTGTGGCACAATAAGTCTCAGGCTACCACTAAACCTTCTTAAGAAATAAATATTTATTTATAATTTTTAAACTTAAAAGTAATATATTTACGAAAATAATTTTTTTTAATGAGAGCCCTAAGGAAACCGTAGAATCTAATGAAGAGCAGATATTTAATTATGAAAATCCTAGAGACAAATATTAATTATGACCCTTTAGAATAAAATAATTAGAAAAATAAGATCTTCCCACTAGTCCAAATATATTAAAAATTGGAACACTTAATTTTTTAACTATATTTTTTAATATGTAAACGGCCTAAAAAAATTAAGTGTGTTCTAATTTTCAATATGTTTGAATTGATACGAAGATTTTATTTTTCTGATTATTTTATCTTAAAAGATCATAATTAATTTTTAACTCTAAGGTTTTCAATAAGAGCCCTAAGCGGAACTTTTTTTAGCTCTAAAGTTTTCCGAGTCCGAGATTTTGAAAATTTTTAATTTTTTTCGCTGATTCAAAACAAGAGAAAGAGTGGAGAGTGGGAGCCACCTTTTGCCCAGTTTTGTTTTCCACGTGTACCACCAATTGTGTGTGCGTGCGCCGTGCAACATCCGTTCGTGGTTGGCGTACGCATAGCATTTCTGAAAATTCATATTGCGAAAAACTATTATAGTAAGTCCATTATTTTTAAGTTTTAAAAATGCAAATAAGTATTTATTTTTTAAGAAGACTTAGTGGAACACTAGCTGTACAGCTAAATCTGTCAATGGTGGTGATTTTAGAAAGAGAAAAAGAGGAGAGAGAGTGGTCAAGTGGGGGAGAGAGAAGGTATAAATCTAGGCCGTCCAAAACACATTTGGACGACTGGAATTGATCGCCTGCGGGTGCCGCCATGTGGTACCCGCTCGACACCCAAAAATTTCTCTTCTATCATGTTGCACGCGTGGAGTATTCTTCTAATATTTTACCATGCTACTTTATTCTTATTCAAATAGTCTTATGTAAGGTGGTGGAATTGGGCCTCCACAATTAATCGAAACGTGTGTAAGTTGACTCGGCCCGGACGCTTGAGTTATCAAAGAATGTAACGTGGACGTCCCATGATCATTGTAGAGACACTTCCCGTGACCTTTGTACACAACAATGCAGTTTAAGAACAAATATTGATGGAAGATTATTACACTGAATACAATTTGTCTTACTACTTATTATTAGATTGTTAACCACCAACTCATCTAAAAGCTTAAGTTGTTAAAGAGAAAGACAATTTTATTATTTATACATTCAACACGTCCCCTCACGTGTAGCCAGACTCTCTTTCATAAGTAAGCTAAACACATGTAAATATTTTAACACTTATGAACTCGAACTTAATGCCACTATCGGACTTCGAACCACATGGTCACCCTCAACCTCAACCCAAGTCAGATACCCGAACGCCACCGTACCCTCCTTCATCGTTTTCGGTCCTTCAATGCTCACCTTGTAGCTCTGCTTCTCGCTCCTCCCTGTAAAAACCAGTTTCTCAGGCACAACCTTAACTATAAACCCCTCCATTGGTGTCACTTTCGCCATATAATTCGTCATTCCCGCTCCAACGTTGGTCACCGTACGAGAAAATTCTTGTACAGTTTCGGGCGCATCTGCGTTGAAAAATGCAATGAAAGAAGGGTAGTTGATGTCCAAAGTCAGGTTCGAACAATTATAAGGATTCCCCCTCATGATGGTTAGTATTTGGTTTGCGGTGAAATTTAATCCACAAAGAAGATTCACGTAGTCTGTGACATCCGTGTCATATATTAGACCAGGGTCTAGCGCCTTGTTTGGGTCAACATGGCCGGACCCAATGGCTAAAGGAGTAGCAACTTTGTCGTTATTTCCAAGGTCTTTAATCGGGTTGAAATCGTTGTCGCTCGAGTAAGAAGTGGTCATCATGGCGGAACGAATGGCGGCCGGGCCCCAATCGGGCTTAGCCGCCTTGAGAAGCGCTGCGACCCCTGCAGCATGAGGGCAGGCCATAGACGTGCCCGACAAGATATTGAACTGACCGAAAAGCGGCCCGGTGGCCAAATCCACCGTTGGAATATTTGGAGGCCATGCGGCTAGGATCAATTTGCCAGGGGCCATAAGGTCAGGCTTGAGCACAAATGGGCAGCTTGGGGATGGGCCTCTTGAGCTAAAGCTAGACACTTTAGGTGCTGGTTTAGTCCCGAGTCCCGTTTGATGAAAATCAATTTTCGCCGTTGGGTCGTCACCGTTTTTGATGTAGTCCAAAACAATCTCTCCCTTTTCAAGATTGAGAAAAATTGCGGGAAATGTGGTCTGAATGGAGGATTTCAAATCCGTCGTGTTGGTAACGAAGATTGCTGCGGTCACACTTGAATTTTGGGCATAGTAAACTTGCTCGCTTAGGGAATCGTCCTTGTCTTGGCACACAATAATCTTGTGCCCAACATTTTTCAATTCCTCGGAATTATTGCAGAAACCCATGAAAACAAGCGGGAATTGAGATGGATTTGAATTCCCTGGAAAAAGAGAAGAGCCTGAGATTGAAACATTGTTGCCAAGGGTAATAAGCCCTTGGAATTCGCGGTCCACGGTACCGGCAGCAACACTAAGGACCCAAGGGATCCCATTGTGGAGTGACGCAATGTAGGGCCCCCTGTTTCCGGCCGATTTAGAAACAAAAATACCCTTCTCCAAAGCTGCAAACGTAGCTATGGCGATGGGGTTTTTGTACAATTCGGGACTGTCTGAACCAAAGGAGAGGGAGAGAACATCAACGCCGTCGATCATCGCCTGATCAATCGCAGCGATGATGTCAGATGAGTACGAACCCTCATCCCACAAGGCCTTGTACATGGCCACGTGAGCCCTCGGAGCCACGCCTCGGGCAGTTCCCGAAGCATAGCCGAAATATGACACGCCCTCGACGTAGTTCCCGGCTGCCGTGGAAGAAGTGTGGGTGCCATGCCCGTCGGTGTCCCGTGTGGAGTTCATCGAAAAGGCCAATTTGGGGTATTTTGCATGAAGGCCTTTGTTGAAGAATCGAGCTCCAATGAGCTTCTTGTTGCACATTGATGAGTTGAATTGGGTGCCGGTTTCGCACTCTCCTTTCCACCTTGAGGGCACTTCGGTCATTCCATCGTCGTCAAAGCTCTTGCTCTCTGGCCATATCCCCGTGTCGACCACCCCAATTATGACATCTTTTCCCTGTTTTGCCGCTAGCAGCGTACCGGACTCCGACTTTAGCCCAAGGAATTCGGTCGAGTGAGTCGTGTCGATTTTAACCGGCATATCTCTGTAGGAAGAAACATAGCCCGGGGATTGTTTTATCGCTTCGTATTCGGATGGAGAGAGACTGGCACTAAAACCATGGATGGCATTACTGTAGCCATAGATGAGCTTAGAGGAGGAGGACAAAGAGGTGGTGGTGGTGGTGGTGGCGGCGGCGGCGGCGGCGGCTCTAGTGTTATCCAGTATGGAAGAAATGGTGGCCAAGTACCAAGTGTGGTGGCTAGAGAAGGCTTTTGGCATGGCTGATAAGTCCATGTGGACAATGTAATTATCTAATTCGGCCAAAGTGGATATGAATTGTGGGATTGTCAAAGAAAGGAGGAAAACATACAAGGGGAAGTGAGAGGCCATTTTCGAAATGTGTTGTTTGAATTTTGAGTACTTTGATGAGGGCTTATATAGAGAAAACTAGAAGTACGGAAAGCCAAGATATTCGCCCTCTTCCAATTTTCCAATCTGTCCATTACTTTGTCCATAGGACTATGATCCTTTTTTTTTTTGATAACTTGGGTATTCAGACCAGCTGAAATGCACCTCGACTAATTCTTGGGAACCTATCCCACCGCCCACTTACGGGCCAGGAACCCCAATTAAAGTCTGAGAAAAACTCTATATGGACCGGTCCAAAAGAGTTGATAGCACATGAGAGATTTCGAACGTAAGACCTTAGAATGGAACAAACCCCCAAATCTCAGGCCCTGACCACCCTTATGCCAATGTTGCTAATGATTTGAGTTTTTTTTTTTTTTTTGCCAGACGATAGGAAGTTAGGAGTTGGTTATTACTAGTAGTTACCACTGGAGTTTAGCACCTATTCCATGAGATCTCAAACTCAAGACCTCTCACTTGATAGGAAGAGTAAGAAACCAACCACACTTTGTGGTGTTCCCATTTTGAGTCTTTTGACCCACCAACAAATTAATTTTAACTTCCAAATACGGATGTAATTTTACTAACAAATGGTTTAAAAATGATATTGAAAAACAATCTGATGTATACTACCTCCATAAACTATTCTGCATGGCCAAGGTAGTTACTAGGTGGGACCACCTTTTTTACCACCGCGCGCCCTTTAATTTTTGTCCTTAATTAATTCATATGAATTTACGTTTATTACCCATTCATATATATGTGAAAACATGAATCGATAGAATCATAGTACGATATATTTAGATGAATAAAGATCTGGAAAAAAAAAAAAAAACGGTGCTTA